TTTTGCGTCCCCTTCAACACGACCCTGTGTGGCAGATATCACTAATGGCCGTTTTTATACTAGAGACACGTGAACCGTCTGGACAACTTGGACACGTTTGTTTTAGTGTGTCTGGGTATGTGTTTCATTTAAAGACGGAAACAGGACGGGTTATACGACAAGACAAACTATCAGCTTAAGTGCTTCTTGAACGAAGAACTAATGACAAGCTTGGCTGAGGAAATTTAATATATCTACGTGTATGTATGCGTGGCAGTAAAAAGTCGCCCAGAAGACGGATAATTCGTCAAGACGAACTATCTGCTTCTGTACATCTTGATCGACGAGTTGAAGGTTTGCACTAGACACCTGAAACAGCACACACATAATCCATGGGTCTCTAGCGTGAAAACAGTCAAGCTTGTTTTCGTTCAACTAAGGTAAATACGATAAGATTCTGACTCGATGTATCAGTGTTTGGAGAAGTGAAAAGCATGACTCATCACTAGTTGATTACCATTTTAAACTGGTCTGGAGATACGAGGCTGGCAACAAGTGGTAACACAGTTCCAAGTCGTTTTTCAAAGTTCTTTTCTTCAACTTCAACGAACAAACCACTGACTTGAGCAGCAAGACGCTGAAGACTGATCTACAAAAAAAGAATTCAAACGAAGAAAATCAGTCAGATATGAACATAAAATATAAGTTTAACTAAGATTTTGATGCAGCTGCATGTTCTCTCCGTGTTAAGTGACCTGTTTTATGATTTTTTCGTTAAGTTGACAATCACCTTCAAATCAAAGAAAATCGGCGAAATTATAGTTCAGTAAGGTTGGAAAACTTCAAATGAAAAAGCAGGTAAAGATTGCTTAAGACTGGGACGAAATGAATTATGCGTGTAGCCTGGGAGCAGACCCGTCCTTCCGTCTATAATGTCCTGGCGGGGGAGCTGGGATGAGGGGGATAGGGTTAGATTTTTGTTAAAAAAGAAGTCTTTTCAATTCTTACTCCAACCGAAGAAATATGAAAATGAAACAAAAATCACCCCCAGAAAACTGAGAAGGTTACAAAGCCACCACCAAACCCTTTCTCCGTGAGGACCAACCGAACGACCGACACTACAAACTTGGAAAGCAGCTTTAGGCTTTGGTCTCTAATAATGGTGGTCTAGACATTCGTCTCATAAACAAAGATTTTCTTCACCCTTCGTCATCACCAGATTCAGGTACAAAGCCATGTTCAACAAGACCAACAGAGCCAAACAATTCCACTGAACATAGCGCGATACAAAAAGTAGTGACAAGTGCAATGTGGATGCAGTGTGCTTTAGTTGTCTGCTATTTACCACACGGCATAGTACTAGCTTTGTTCAGTAATGGCAGACTATCTTCATCAGATTATCTCGCTTGAGATATAACAGTGACGCTAGTTTATTTTAACTCGACATTAAACCCATTTCTTTACTTCTGGAAGATTCATGAAGTGAAAAGAGCGGTCAAGGAGACAATTCGAGAATCACTTTGCTCCTTATAGAGTTAGCTCACAGTCGTGTTATTCATGTTATTCCTGACCGAGTAAAAATGCAATAAATTAAGATAGCTTCTGATAAATTTGGCAAAAAACCTCACGAAAACGCAGTGTGACGAATCGCTCTCGGAAAAGCTATGATACAACGCCGCGTCGAAACCTTTTTGGATTAGAAGCAGACCAGGATATGATGTAAGTTTCTGTCATATGCTAAAATAACATTCAGGTTGCTTAATAAGCAGTATCAGTTTCTCTGCAAATAATGCCCTGTGAATTTTATTTTCTTAAAAGTTGTTCACCTACGTGTTCCAGTTTTCTACTTTGAAAAACGGTAAAGGACTTTCTGAATGACACCTCCAAGTATATAGGGATTAGTTTTATATAATACACTAAGTAAAAGTGACAGACTTCCAGTTCTGAAAAAACAGGAAGTGCTAATAAATTATTACATGTAACGTAAAAATTGACCTGCTGTATTCATGGCGGGCGTTTATGGGAAAGTCAGAAGGTTTTTGTGCTTTAAGAATTCAAAGAACTTTCGTCAGGGGTAATGCATGTTCGTGACACTTTATTCAATCTATACTTTGATGACACTTATTACCTTTTCGTCTTTAAACCATAACAGTACGATCGAAAATAGCTTCTGTCGCTGGTCGGCATCAATCTGAAGATGAAGAACAGGAAATGACAACATGAAGTATATTGTTTTTGAGATAAAATCCTCAACGGTGAAGGCAGCTTTAAAGAGAACTATAGTAAAACTTGCCAAAGGCAGCTAAGGTTAAGGACTCAAAGTTCATATTCTAAATGATAACCAATAACACCTTTCTCTTCAAAACAGTAATCCATTTCTAGCAGATAGGCGTTAAGAACAGAAAATATCACAAAATAGCGAGGGAGGGGAAGGGGAAGGGGAGGGGGGGGGGGGGGATGTAGCCTAGCGTGTGCAACTTTTTACTTTACTATCTGGGTTTACAAATAACGTATGGCATTGTTTAGCACTATGACCATGGCTCGGGACTCCCAAATCCATTGGCTTACTTTGGCAAGAAGTGACTTGATTGCCAGAGCTGTCAGCTTACGGCAAGCGGCCGAGTCATCATTCACCAAGCGAGAGGTCAGTGGTACAAAGAAGAAACCAGCATAGTCAATCAGCATCGACTGAAACGGAAAGAAACAAAACATACAGTGTAGCATAACAACTCAGCTACAGTATAAATTGACGGCTCTGTATGAGGAAAAGAAAGTAGTGTAGACTATTATTACGCTCATTCGGCAGGTCACTGTTGATTCCAGCGTCTGGTTTTATCTGAAGATCATTTTGGTATGCAGGCAGGAAGAGGAAAACGGGGGATGGGGTACAGATTGATGCAAGGGAAAGGAAGAGAAGGTGAAAGTACACTTCTATGTATTCAATTCCGTTCCAAACGGAGAAGTTTTCCTATTTTAATACTCCTAATAATGGCGAAAATCGGTGTCATACATTGTGGAATGCTGTGAAACATTAGAAATATTCTGCCAGGGATTTTTATTTTCAGTTTGTTTCAGTTACGCACTTCGCGAAAACTCAGAACACCCTGACTCACTCCAAACTTACGGGAAAATGAACACGACGTAACGCCCTTTATGGTTACCAGATGGACTTAAAAGAAATCTTACCTCAGGAAATGAAGAAAACATGGATTCCAACATCTCTAGTGCTGATTCTCGACCTGTCTCGTGTTCGTAGCTTGAGTGAGTAAACGAACAAACAAGATCAATTTCGATGGAGTTATGTTGATCAGGCAAATGTTTCATAGAACGACAACGGTACGTATATTGGAGGAGGACTTACCTCAGTTGAGAAACATAAAACTCCAAGTATCTTTGCAGCTTAGTGCCCAGTGGATAGTCCAGAAGGAACTGCAACATACACTGAAAATGGACTTGAAAAAGTTAGTCTAGATTTTCCAAGTTCGTCGTTTGCAGTCCGTGTTAATCTTCTCCATCCTTAATCCCAATGGTTCCTTTATGGTTTATTATTTCCTCTTTGGAGTTTAGCTTAGCAAACTTCTATTTTCAGGTTTCCTTCAATTTAAAGGCAATTTTGTACGCGACCAAAATAACTCATAATGCTATAACTGAGCTCCTTTAAGATCAGTAAAAACCACAAAATTACTCTTGAAACAGAAAACGTAGCGAGTAAATATATGCTAGATAGGAAGGAGTATTTTATTTTTTTGTACCTGTCTGCACTGAAGCTGAACCGAAGGTGAGCTTCCAGTGATTGACAGCTGCCCCACCTTCCACATGACGTCATGGATTTCAGGCACTGTGAGCTTCCTTGAAAGGATGGCCTGGCACAAAAAGAAAAAGTCAAGTCAACTCACATTTCAGTGGGATTCGCATTCATTGTTGTTTCAATTAAAAGGAAAAGGCCGTTTCAAGAATATCTGTGAACTCTTTACTGGTTCATTTAACGTTCATCTAGATAATACCCGATTCGCTGCAGCAAAGAATTTATATGTTAACGCAGTGATATTGAACGTAAATTTAAAGTATTTTTCTAGTTTTGGGACAAGATTATGGAAATTTTTGCACTCTGATTGGCGTAAACTTACGAAAAGGCTGTCTAAAGGACAAACTCATGAATCGCTTCTCACAGTGCTTGGGACTGAAGATGATTATGTTAACGTCCATTCCCTAGTCTTGAAATTAAACACCTATTATTATTGTATTTCATGACTGTATTTATTATAACTTTTCCTTTTCACTACACTTTTCATCATAAGCCCTACTTATCTGAAATATCACTAGTTCGACTCACTGTGCTTGCTTATGTGTTTGTTAATTTAATTTATTTTTTATTGTAACTACTCATTAACCAAGAGTGAGGTCGTTACGGGAAAATCTCAAACCGAGACCATGTCGTATTGACCAAGCGACAACGAGGTCAATACTGCGAGGCCGAGGTTTGAAAGTTTCCCGTCAAAACCGAACGTTCGAGGTTAATACGAGGTCAATACTGCAAGGCCGAGGTTTGAAATTCTCCCGTCAAAACGAACGTTCGAGGTTAATAAATTGTTTATCTTATGGCTTTTTGCTCTGTTCTTGCAGGCCCGTAATTGGCCCGTGGGCATTACGATAGAATAATGCCCTACAGTTAGCCAATTAGAGCGCGGGTTAAATCGGCTACAAATAGAAGCCTTATAATAATAATAATGTCTTATTTATTGCAATGCCCGCCTTGACTAGCCCACGCCATACGCGGGTAGTTTCAGTTGTAATCTGTAAGACTGTTAAGAACCAACCTTAAGAAGAGGAAATGCTGTTCCTTGTTTTGTGTGGTCATGGATGTCTTCCTCAACAAATCCTAACAGCACCTGTAGATGCTTTTCGGCAACCGAGTATTGTTTGAAGTCCCGTATGATCACCGTCATGGCCTGGAGATGATAATGAAATTAAATACTACGCTGATAACAACGCCGGAAAAAATTTATATCAATGAATTGATTTACACTCTTTTGAAGTACTTGAAGTGTTTTTAGCTCATTTTCAAACCTGGATAAGAGCCACGATATTGTAAATAATGTTTTGTTTCCGTTCGTTCAAGCTATGCCCTTGAAACACCTTCATACCTCTTTATAATAGTCATATTTCCTTTTTTTTCTGAGAGTATTTAGTTACACCCGCTTTCAGTGTTACGTGCATAGCAACTATCGATCTCTCGACAAGCCATCTTTCGACATGCTATGTAACCTGGCCTATGTCAAAATGTCAGCACAAGTGGCTTCTTTACGGTCGAACGCGACTTTTAGTCATGAAAGATGGATTTATTTGACATCAAACTAAGGCTAGGAGTATCAAGAAAACATTCTGTGAGGGATAAATCGACTGCTTTGAATGTTTACATCTTTCGAATTCTACCTGAGCGGTAGCGGTCCAATTCCACCTAAAGTCACTATTGAGAGCCGATCAACTACACTAAAATCGTTTGAATTATCCCGTAAATCGGGAGTCCAGAATCTTCTTCATTCATCTGAGGTCACTAACTATCATATACTTGTCATTTGTTCTGCTAATAACCGGAAAAATTGCTAGTTTCAAAGGTAAACGGCATTTCATCCGTTTACAAAGCATGTCGAAAGATGGAATGTCGAGAGATGGTCGAAAGATGTCGCCTATGTACGTAACACTGAAAGCGGGTGTAAAAACATCAAAGAAGATATAAATAGGAACAAGTCTATAATTTTATTTACCTTAAAGGCGGAGAGAACCATTTCAAAATTCTCTCCAACTTTTGCACCAGCTTTTGCATAATTCTTGAGCAAGTTGAAGAGCAGTTTTCCGATTGTAGGAACACAGCGGTTTAACGAGGGCAGCGGGAACTTAACCAGCCAGCTTACACAACGGAGAGAGATGGTTACAACCTGAATACACAATAAGCAAAACTGATCACGAGAAGAGGACGAAGTCGCGCAGCAATCTCATCTAGCTTGGCGTGTGGGAGTTATCCGGGGAATAATAATAGGACCAGTTTCACCCCAGCGCCCCCCCCCC